GTGTTGTCCAAACGACGCGGAGGCTCCCAGTCGCCTCGGGCAGGTGAGAATTAAAGCTGCATAGCAGCTGCTGATATTCCACAGTTCACGCCTTGTCCAACGATTCGAGAAAAGTTACGCCTTATGTTTTTTATTCCATCCAACGATAAGGAATCTGAAAACCTCCTCCCACAAAGTACCAACTACTACCAAGGCACCTGACATTCATGCTCTTTCAACTCCAATTATATCCCCCTCCAATAATTGCGAACCACCATTCAGCAACTATTAACTAATATTGTGAACCGAATAATGTATTCTTTACCGCACCTTAACTGTACAGAAAGGTCCATGATATGAAACCCTAAATGATTCCTCACTTTTATAAACAAATCGTGGAAGTGTGAGACAAAAATCTCCATATCATTTCTCTCCCACGAAACCCAACCCACCAATCCAAACTATAAGAAAACAATAAATTCTGCAGGAGCTCACATGGGTCAACCGTAAATGTACGATAAAAGTTGTATATGTTTGTATACTGTTACTCTGAAACCATCACGTGTAAATCCTCACGGTAGATCAGCGAATAAAAATAAATTTAGAAAAACGATAAGGAATAGATTCCTCGAGAGAGAACAGAGAACAAAAAGGAGAGGACGAGATCAGTACTTCGCATATTTTGAATAATTGATACTTTCAGTTTTAAACGTGCTGACATGCTGCTCAACCGCACAGCATATTTTGGCATAAAAATGTGTTTAAAATGATGTGTTGCACAGACTGAAGGTTGTATGTAAATCGCTTAGGCCGAAGGTTGGAGCCTCGTTGCTACCTCGGAAATGAATAGTCAAAACTTAGTTGGGCACTAAAAGTAATTTAACATAAAAATACGCTACAAATTAAGCGTTGTACAAAACTCTTATACTGTACCGATATGTACCTATCCAATTTGTCCTGTCGTTTGCGGATTCACATAGGTCGTTCTGTTTTCTCTGGCCAAGGAATCGATTCCTTATCGTTTTTCCAAACTTTTTTTTTCGCTGAGCAGCCGTTACACATGATGGTTTCAGAGTAAAAAAATAGAAACATATACAACATATATCGTACATTTGAGGTATTTGAAGATGTAGAGTGCTATCAATACCATCATTCAAGGGAAGTGCTATCGACATTCTTTGAAAGTTCAATTCAGCATTGTTCCCTATCCAGACATAATTTCCACAAATAAATATTTTCACTATACCTTCGATCTTTTAGATGTTGAGGAAATGTGATAAGATACTAATGGTGCTACACAACCTTCTCCTATCAACTCATTAGTAACGGTTACGAAATATAATTTTGCTAATTTTATTCTGATAACATTTCAGCCCTCACTCGAAATCTGCAAACGACATAACTCAAAATATACACTAAAACCATTCAAGATTCAAAGGAAGAGTAAACTAAATGATTTAAAGATCTAATATTGAAAAACAGATTTCATTAAGGTAAAAAACTTTATCTTCTATATTTAAGAGTGTAGGACTGGTTCGAAAATAATGTTGAACACAGTCATTTAAACTCAAAAGCACTAAGAAAATACTAAAAGTATCAAACACATGTATACAAAACATTTTATATCAAGGAATACATGTATTTTGAAATTTTTGCAATTTTTCAAATTCCATATTTTTAATGAAACTTACATCTCTGCCATAACATTAATAAAGTTTTGCTCTATTTGTGAGAAAAAGTTGGAGCCATTTTTGAGAAAATCTTGTCAAAAAAAGTTACTATTTCACCCAAAACTACGAGGAAAAACTCATATTGTGAAAAAATAAGTGAATGATATTCGTTAAAGATCTAATTTTGACGAAAAGTTTTTATTAACAAAAAAGCTGTCAATAATGTAGTTCTTGAAGGGGTCCGAAAAAAGTTTACTCAAGTGGCCATGACATCAGGCCATATCAATTGAGGTATTTCAATTTTGATAAAAACCCTGAGAACGGTAAAAACGTTAGTGTTGTTCACAGACAAACAGGCTGACAGGCTTTAAAACACCCTTTCTCCGGTGTCAGACTCTCAAAACGTGTATTTCCCTGAATGTCTTGGCATTGATTTTTGAATCATTATATCCATTTCTCTCCACTACGGATGCGAGAAAGAAAAAGAATATCAGTTATAAAAAGAAAACGAGGTTATTGGTGTCAATCGAAAAATGTATAATTTCCTCCCAGACATTCTCAGATTTACAGATATGGCGGACAGCAAACAAAAAAAAACAATCTACTTTATTTAATTTTTAATAATAAATTTTATTTTTTAAATATGTCGATCGGATTAATTCAGTGGTTAATTGTGACGGATATGAACTTAATTAAATATTGTTAATTGTATTGTTGACAATGAACTTTTATTTTAAGAAAAGTGTAGCAATTAAAGAAATCTCTCGTTGAATAGCTTTGTTACCGTATGGGCATAAGATGTAACGAGGCTCATTTTATGGTGTAAGAAATCACTTTCTTTGCTCCCAGAGATAATCCAGAGAATTAGAAATTTTACATAACTGGTTGTCATATCATTATGATATGATAGAGCATATCAATGACAAGATTCCATAACGTAGATTCGATCAGTATTCGGAGTTCTGTCATGAGGAACATCAACCTTTTCAAGAAGCCTGCCACATTGCGTGCATAGCAATGTCATCCAAAACACCGAGCGATCCTTTAAGCGCTACAGTTGACAATGAAGTTTCGATAACATATCAGGAAGATTTGATATCATGACACTGACGCTTCATTCCAAGTTATCATGAAATTATGAGTAGGAAAATAAACTAAAATTGAAAAGAGATTGTTTTGTTTCAACACATTTCCCCCCTAAGCCCTTCAATGGTTAGTGACATAGAGACCGGGACGGTTATGACCATTGGATGATCTGGATGACTAGGATTCGGTTAGCGTTACGGTCAAGAATTTAAGTTCAGGGCTTTCTGTGTTCTTCGCACACACCGTTGATTTCTCGGATGAACTCTCTCTCGGATGAAATCTTCTGTCTTCATGCTACCCATTCGATGTTTGTGTTGTTGACCCTTCTACCGTACTCTCTCGTAATGTCAAAATCAGTTCGCAAAATGTCCTCTGAGTATTATAAGTTATTTGATGGTTTCATAAAAAGGACTGTAAATAAATTAATCCGCGATCGCAACTTTCCCTATGCTTTTTCCAGATGGATATGTTTAACACGATTTTTTTAGTACGAATCTATCCCTACGAATCTATCAAATAACTTTTGTTCAAATACGAAGTCTCTTTAGGTTTAATTTAAATTCTACAACACAAATTAACATGACGTATCTAAATTATTAATATATACAACTCTTAGGCCTTTCACAACTAATTTCGTATCACCCACTTCCCTATAATTGAAAACACTAGACCCAATCCTACCTGAAGTTACTCATACTCTTTGGTGAAATGCGTCCGCTCTGGCCGACGTAGTAAGAGAGTGAATATTAAAACATTTCTACAAAACCATAGTTTTCACTGTTTCCTCCATACATTTTCTATATACTATCACGGAGCCGTCCTTACCTTTTCACAATGAAAAGCGTCATGTCCGCGAGCATGGGATATAATATAATTTCTTGTTGATTGGTCGCCCTGGCAACGTGTACTCTTTGATTGTAAGCGTTCTATATGCGTTCATTTATGTGGTAATTGTAATGTCTTGATTTTTTTTCTGTTCAAATAAAACCGGTGTTTTCTCGCTTATCACTAGGGGGCGGATTTTGATGACATAAAACATTGCCAAAAATGATCAATAAAATGCTCTTAAAATGCTTTTAAAATGCTCTAAAAATAAAGAAAAATGACGTAAAAATTTGATAAAAACATCAAATGAACAAATCAAGCTCTTGGATATGTTACTGATGTAATCGAGGCTTCTTCTTTTTGTTCAAGTGAACTCAGCTTGCAAACTTTGGGTTTGGGCTGTTCTTTAAAAGAAAATCTCTGCTTTTATTTATCGTGGAATCGGCCGAACCGACAAAGGCGCCGAGAAACGTCACAGGAACTTTAGATTACATACTGCTCACAAAGGCTGACATTATAATATATGAGCGAAGAAATCGAATAGGCAACTCAGGAATTCTGTGGTGGACATTTGTTGCATCTCGTAAATATTGAAGTAAGTACCATTAAAACGATTTAAAAATCAATGACGTCAGCAAAAGAGCAGTAAAAATGACATAAAAAGGTAAAATATAACTTATTAGTTGAAAATGACGAAAAATGCAAAAAAAGGCACATAAAAATTGGTCATTTCGTTTCGTGATAACATAAAATGATTTTCTATACTAAACGGCGTGGTTTTAAAGTGAAAAAAAGGCATTTTAATAAAATCCACCCCTACTTATCACAATTACATATATTCTTCGCCTAAAACTCCTAACCGAAAGTAACAAAAGGGCTTTTTGTTCTAGACGTAAGAACACAGCGAAATGTACCTGTGGGATACTTTCACCCACAAATTCTCATTGTCATAT